GGGCACGAGCGGCCAATTTGCAGCGCTCCTGGGGCTGGAGCTTACCATTTGCCCAGGCTGGCTCCGGCACACAAATGGCCGGGCGGGCGCACACAAATGGCACGCGGGCACCGTGTTGGGGACCACTGAAGTAGAGTAATAAATGGAAGCAAAGTACTATATAATTATCAGAGAGATGTTCTGTGTCTCATGCCACAAGGCCGGGGGGAAGATAGAGACTTCATTTGTTAAGGGTGAGATTAGTTTATAGGCAGACAAGCTATTTTCTCTGGAGTTGCAAGGTCCATAGGCGAACGATCGTTATTAGACAGATTACAGTTAAGGTTTATTTTGAACCTATAAATATTTCCAGAAATAGTCCTTTACTGATTCTGTGTTCTAGTTTCTTGACTTTTAAATGTTTTGCGCTTTAACCAATATTCCTGAATTTCCTGACTTCTAAATGTTTTAAAATTTTGGTAAGTAGAACTGTTTGCAATCTCAATTCCTTCTTGATCATATTTTTTGTATAGGAATTTAACATAGGGGTGGATTAATTTATATGAAGGCAATTTAAATTACTAAATGAAACACCTAGATTTAAATAATTGATAAATTTTTCTTTGGTTATTTTCTAGGTGATTTTTCTCATTGGTTAATATAATAATTAAAACCTGTTGATTTACTGCTAAGTAGAGGTTTTATACTCGCTATGGTACTTTTTGCTAGCTAAGAGGATATGCTATAACTGTACACATTTATTTATTTATTTAAGCACTTTGTGCAATTAATCTGAAAATATGCTGGAAATTTTAGTATATTAGAAATTGGTGAATGATACATTGTTTATGTACTAGATAATTAGCTTTTTGCTTATGGGGCACTGAATTAGAATGGTAACTAGAACTTAAACACAGAATAGCATGATTAGAACTCAGTTAGGGAGAAACTGTACAGTAGGAGGTGGAGACCAGTGTTCCCTCTAAGCTGTGCGGGTGATTAATCAACCCTGCACTGTCAGAGGCTCAGGGCTCTGTGCACAGAGCTGACTGACTGGGTGGGGCTGATTAATCACCTGTGAAGCTGTGCTGCCACACAGTTTAGGGGGGGAGCATTGGTGGAGACCACTCCCACAGGCTTAGTGGATAATCATGATGATGAGATACTTAACAATATCACCCAAAGGCCAGGTCCCAAGTCTCTTGAACCCAGCAGCACAGCTCCTGGGTCCCCCACAGGATCAGACCTTTAACATGGTGTATGGCCTTTTATGCCATTTATAATGCTTGACCTCATAAGTTAGATATTTTATCCTAACTCATTATATAGAAAAGCAGCCTTTAACTTAACATTTTAATGATCTCATGGATTCAGCATATTTATTTATAGTGAAATGTTTTAAGAGGTTGCAATTAGTTTAGGCCTTAACATTTTATATTAAATTCTGCTTTCATTTAAAATTGATTTATTATAAAATAAAAGAAAATTCTCCAATTTTCCCCTGAAAAAGCATCCCTCTTTAATCCTGTTTAATATTGATAGCAAGCCATCTTTGGCCTAGGAAAGTTTAGATTTTTGTGGGCTCTATCTGCTGTGTTCATTGGATTTAATTTTTAATTTCATTTTTAAGTGTACTGTTTTCAAAAAATGCATTATTTGTTAAAGAATTCTAGTTCTCCAGTGGCCTTTTTAGAACAAAGGCCAGGAACAACACAGGTTTGAATTTTCCACATTAAAACCATTCTCTTTTCTTTAAGCTTCTGGAAGTTTTGATCTCCTTGACAACACCGACATCCATCTGCACTTCCCAGCTGGAGCCGTCACAAAAGATGGACCATCTGCTGGAGTTACCATAGTAACTTGTCTTGCCTCACTTTTCAGTGGGCGGCTAGTGCGTTCAGATGTAGCAATGACTGGAGAAATTACACTAAGAGGTCTTGTTCTTCCAGTAAGTCTCTTTTAGAAAAGTTAACCTATATTAAAGACTGTGGGGTTCTCCCTCCCCCCTTTATGCCCTCTGTAAAATGAATTAGTAATTTGAGTCATAGTTTCTTACCCATCTGTAAACCTTGTAATCTTCCTGTAGTTCATTCCTGGGTAGCCCTGGATTGTCTTTCAGTATAATTAGCACAGATGCATATACAACTCCTAGTTAACAGCCAGATGAACACTATGAAAGTTACCTGATTTTTATGTAATCTGCATGAAAAAGTTGTTAATATATAATTAATATGTTCAGTGGAACAGAATAGCAGATAACTTAGTTTTATTATTTTTATAAGTATAGATTTCCTTTTCTAAAATTCATAATGCCCTTTTACATATCCTACATGTGTTGCAAACTGAAAAAAAATCATTCTTGGGACTTATAGGGAATTTTTATTATTGTAGTCTATGGAGGGAGGCTTAGACTAAGGTGATAATAGCTTGCAGTTTTATTTGCACAATTAGCAAACACAGGCATCACAGATGTATTATGGGGATGGGCAGAAGCTCAACCTAAATCCCAAATGTTTTGCTCCTCCCATAATAAAATCTGGCATTAGTCATACTCTAAGCTCACAGTTGCTATAATTATGTTTACAATGTGTAAGAGTGGAGGCAAGTTGACTAATTAGGTTATAGAACCTATTGCCCTCAACATGAGAACAATATTTTTTATAATTTCAAAGCTACCTTAAACCATGCAATTTGGATGGCAGTGCAAAAACATCCATTGTGTATTATTATTTTGTATTATCACTGCTCCAAAGATCTTTTAATCTAAACATATGACAAAAAACAGGTGAATATAGACAGATAGGAATTCAAGGAAATAATGAGGCAATATTGATTAGTATGATATAAGCTCACAAGCAGCCTAATCATGGTTGTTTTGTAGATATCAAAGAGCTGGAGGAATTTGAATGAGGATGAGTGGAATATATTTGTGGTTATTTATTGAGTGAACCTCCAAGTAGGAGGGGCACCATGGGGGAAAAAAAAAGGCAAACTGCTTCTTTGAAAATGTAACAAGTTGGCAATGGAGGCTGGCATCATGAACTGATCAGAGCTTGGAGTTCAGGGGCAACTGCTGAGGGTGGAATGAGGTGGGGCCACATGACACTCCCCACCTAAGCCTGGGAGGAGCAGGGACAAAGCCCTTCTGCCTCAGGCCCTGCCTCTTCCAGTCCCTCACTCCAAGCAATGAGGACCTGGAAGACTAGCAGGCTGGGGGTCTTCTGACCCTGGCCTCCACTCACAGGTTGGTTTGGGGGAGGGGAGCGGGAAGCAAGCAATGCAGCTCAAGATGACTCTGCTCTTCCAGCATGTTGCTCAGGAAAGGAGGGAGCCAGGGGAGCAGAGTAAGCTGGGGTTCCATTGCCTCACTTTTTCCACTGCTACCAGTGAGTGCAGGGGGGGCCCAGATCGTACTACCCCTGGGTTTTGTGGGGGGAGGAGAGATGTGGTTCCATGTCCCCTGATACTCCTAGGCACCGCTGCTTGCTGTTCCTATTGGCTGAGGTAATGGCCAATCGGAGTGGCAGGGCAAAAGCCTCCAGGCAGTGCTTTGCTCTTCTGCTGTTTCCCCAGCTAGAGGGAGAGGGAATGAGAGGGCAGAGATTACATGCACCTGAACTTATTTGACATCAGATCTATGACTTGAAAGTGAGACGAGGTGGGTGAAGTAATATCTTTTATTGGACCAACTTCTGCTAGAGAGATGAGCTTACATGGAGCCATTCTTCATATTCCAGACCTGAAGAAGACTCTGTGTAAGCTCAAAAATCTTGTTTTAAATATGAACCTAGTTGTCATAAATTGGAGGTGTCGGAGAAAAGTATGAAATACTTGTGAATTATTAATGCAGTTTTATTTTGATTACATCTTTCACATTTCATTACAAATTCAAAAATGAGTCTGGTTCTTTGGTGGGGTTTGCACGCACCTATGCACATTTCCATAGGAAAATAGGCCTTTCTGAGGAAAGCTAGCTTTTGCAATAATCTTAAAACTTACTTATTTTGGTTGCTAGTGTCCATTTCTGTAAATTTTTCAGGTGGGAATAGAGGTGAAATGCAATAACCAATTGTGGTATATACAGCTCCAGACAAGAGACCCTTCCCCCAAAAAAGGGAGTGCTACTCTTAAACAGTCATATAAAAAAAGATTTTCACAACCATGTGCTAAAGTGACATGGCACCACAACAGTCTTGTGGTGTGTGCTCCTCAGGCTAAGGTGCTTTTGAAAATCTTATCAAATCTGCTGGGCTAATTAGTTTGCTTCTGTTAACGAAGAAAGCACACGGTCTCACCTCTAAGTATTAATTGATCCTGTTTTCAGTCGGTGGTAATTCCTGTCCTGCTTACCTGGATGTTATTTCATGGCTCTAAATTTTAATCTAGCAACTTGTTAGTGAATCACAATGTTCCCTCTTCGTTCACAAAATCCAAACTGAATTATACAAAGAGGTTATAAATTTTGTTCCGTAGATTCACTACTGTAGTTAGTGAATACTTAGTTGTATTTTGGATATGCTACAGTATGTATTTTCAGCTGCCTGAAAAACCACAGCTGTCTGCATAAGCAGTTTTTGTAGTTGTTTTTCATTTATACAGAGATTACTTTACAGCAGCCTCTTTCACTTGTTAAGGTCACCAAGATACACAGTGCTTTCCCAGAACAAAATAGTCAGAGAACGGAGGGTCCAGCAGGGCAGAGCCGAGCCTTGTATTACCTTAAAATGGGAACCATGCGGGTAGAGGGGGTGATGTATTTTTCCTATGCTGATGAATGCAAAAATAAAAGTGAGGGTAAGAGATTGAGATATTCTTGCATCTGCAACAGCTGGAATCTTTGTGGGCCCAATGAGTTTTCTTTCTCTGACAACAGTATTTCCCATTCTAGCAGTTGAAGACTAATAAGTGCCTGTTTTCCTTACCCATGTGAGGTAAAAGGGATTGTCTAATGAATTTCTTCTAAAAAGTGATTTAGGAGAAAAACAGTTTAAACTGCACTGGTGTACTTTTAACAATCAATATGATGAATTATGGATGTACAGCTGGAATCCTGCCTTGTTCACTTAAGCTTTAATTCAAAGTACAGCACCAAAATGCCTTTGACTGCCTTGCTGAAAGCAACCTATATAAATTTCTTTTAAATTGTGTTTTAAATAGGTTGGGGGAATTAAGGACAAAGTCCTAGCAGCCCATAGAGCCGGATTGAAGAGAATTATCATTCCTCAAAGAAATGAGAAAGACCTTGAAGAGATTGCAATGAATGTGCGGCAGAATTTGAGTTTTGTTATGGCAAGCTGCCTGGATGAAGTTCTGAATGCAGCTTTCGATGGGGGATTTTCAATCAAGACTGGACTTGAGCGGTTGAATAGTAAACTTTAAGCAGCTGAACATGTGTTAAAGGTTGATGTACAGGATCTCATACAACTGTCAGATGGTAAAAATGTGATCTATACAAAACAAAGAGGGCAAGTAATTGGGGCCTCACATTGTGCTATGCCACCCATTAGAAGTTAAGGCCTGAACCTCAGTGCATTTTGGTGTATTTAAAGTTGCAGGTGTACTTTATTACAAATAGTTTACCAAAACAAGTTATACATGTGCTAGTTTTCAGCAGCATGTGCAGGCAGTAGTGGAGGAGAGCACACAAGTGCTTGCACTTTTGAAACTCAAGTTTTCTGTTTAATGAGCATTCCAGTGTTTAGGTAAGAGATGTGTTTAAGTTAACCATATTAAACTTCATGGAATAAAAGTAAATGCATTTCATGTTTCAGATGAGCTACCAGTGAACACTGCTAAAAACTAAAACAAAGTGCATTAACGTGTCAAAACCTTGCAAAATGCATTTGTTTTAAATGTAGCAACTCAAATCCTTGTTTTGTAAGAATTAGGCATGACTCACTACAGGCGGTCCCTGAGTTACGCGGATCCGACTTATATCGGATCCATAGTTACGAACGGAGATTTCTCGCCCTGGAGAACTAGAGCAGCGGGACGCCTGGTCCTGCCGCCCGCCTTCTCCGGGGCGAGAAAAGCTGCTCCCCGTCTCCTGGGGGGGCCAGCAGACCAGGGAGACGGGAGCAAAGCGGCGGAGCACCAGGGGCCGGACCCGCGGCCGCTTCCAGATCAGCAGGA